ATATTTTTTATTATTAATTTTAATGAACATTTACAGAGATTTTGGATTTCCATTCATTCATTGTTGCTCTTTTCTCCCCGTCCCCCCACCCTCAGTTCGTTCTTCTTTGAAAAGTAAAAGAAAAATTCCTTCGTTTATATTTTTTTTGTAGATGACAGAACTGAGGTTGAGAATGATTCAAACCTCCCTATTTAAGAGGGAAAGAAAATTAAATGCAGTTGTTAAATAGCATTGTACACAGCAAAAGCTGGGTGTGGTATTAGGTGTTTATAGTTCAAATGAAAAGCAAAATCGTTTCTGTTCACATCCTCTCTAAACTCAGTGAAGGGTCAGCTATGCGTTGGTTTTGACTTGATGACAAAGATTAAGTCAGTGAATGATTGAGTTTGTGATTTTTGTGCTTTCCTGTGTTCTGCTAATCATGTGTCTTTGAATGCTAGTAAATGCAGCAGAGAAGAAGTACTAAAGAAATGCACGAGTCTATTCTCATTGAAGTAGTCAGAAAGTATTTCAGAAAAGAAGTTACTCTTGAAAAATGTAGGAATCCAGTTGGAAAATAAAAGTGGAGAAGTTACATGGACAAAGAAGCAAAGTGGGAAAGGCATGTTTAAAAGGCAGCAAGGATGGTCTAAATAGTATACAATTCAGAAATAATGTTGAAATGTCAGTTGACAACATGTTTTCTAGAAAGCCTTGTGAAGATATATTCTTAAGGACCTCTCCAGCATGCTGAAGAACAAGAATCTCCATTTGAAAACTAAGATGTACCTGATCCAATTGATGAACTTGTCAGTTACTTCTTATGAATCTTATAATTGGATAGTGGAAAAAATGACAGAAGGGTAACCAATGCTTTTAAACTATGGTATTGGTGAAGAGTATTGGATATACCATAGACTGAAAATAAAAACTCCAAACAACTCTCATGGGAGAAGAGCAACCAGGATGCTCCTTAAAGGCAAAATTGCTGGAAATTTTGGCTCATATGCTTTGGGCATGTTGTCAGGAGGCACCAGTTCCTGGAGAGAGAAATTATGCTGGCAGTGGGGGAGAGTCAGCAAAAGAAAGGCAGACCCTCAACAAGATGGACTGATACAGTGACTGTAGCAATGGGCTTGAGCATATCAGAGATCACTGGGATGGCTCAGGGCAGGGTAAGGTTCAGATCTGTTATGCATAACGTTGCTATGAATTGTAGTCGACTTTATAACAACATATAAGTTAGTGAAGCCCTAATGTCATAGTGGGTTCAGCATTGAGCTACTACTCAAAAGATGGGCAATTTGAAATCACAAGCCACTTCATGGGAGAAAAATGAGGCAGTCTGCAACCATAAAGATGTAGAACCTCAAAAACTCTAAGGGGTAGTTGTACTATAACATACAGGGCAACTGTGAATTATAATAGACTAAGTGACAGTGGGATTGATATTAAGAAGTCAAGAGTAACTATGTTGTTATGATACTAATTTAACTCCTAAGAAAAGTAAAAAAAGTATAAAGTATAACTGAATCAATAGAAAGAAGGTGGTAATATTTATTGAGTGTCCTTGGTGAGAAAAGACACAACTGGCAACAATGGGAACACAATCTCTGAACTCATCAGACTTACTCTCTAGTTTGAAAGTAATAAAGATGTCATGATATTTTGAATGATCATGTGAGCCACAGCTGTGGGAATAACAATGGAAAGGACAGTTAAAGTTCTAGTTTATTAGAAAGTTTCAAGATAGGTTTAAGTAGTAGCTTATGAACAGATGCATCTTGATAAGATCTGTTGATAAGAGAAGAGTTTTAAGCAATTATAAAAATCATGAAGTCCCTTATTAAGGAATGTATCAACTGCATCAGATGCAGGAAGAAAATGGGTAGTTGGACAACATAGAAAATAGCTTTTGCTGAATAGTTTAGTAGGAGTTAATATTCTTATAATTTAACCCATGAATATTATTAAAACTACTGATTGTGCTATACTTTAGTTGGCTCACACATGCTCATGGGAGATGATTATGCTCATCTTTTCCAAGTTTCATGACATTAGTACTTAGCAAGCAGCCATGGTGAAAATCTTTATGCTATAGTACTTGAAAAATGTCACTAAATTGGAGATTCTTTTCTGGATACTAAATTGTGACTCAGTTTCCCAGCACATGCTAGAATCACATGTTGTATAAGAGAGATCATACTTAGTTACAGATCTAACAATTAACTGAATACATAAATAAATCTATTAAAAGAAAATATTTTTTATTAAAAATAGACTCAAAGTAGTGCACATAGTGTTGTGGAATAGAAGTTTTCAAAGTAAGGATTAGCTAAATATCAAATATGGCAGAAGGACTAAGTAGAATATTAAATACATAGTAGTTTGTATTTGTAAGTAGGACATCATTGGGAGAGTAGCCTCAGTAGAATGGAAGGGACCAGACATCCATGACTAAGAAATAGATTTAAGGCCAAAAAGAAAGAAACAGTGAGTGTTGGGTGGTTTTTTTATTTTTTAAATACAGTAATAAAATGAAGCCCAGTGGATGAGGAACTGGAAGAATAGAAGAGATGAGGTGTTCGAGAAATCTGAGGACTGTTTAAAAACTGTGGGAAATGATCCAGGGAAAGAAGAGAGATTACAGGTAGAAAACTACTTAAAAATAAGAAGAGATTTATAGAGAAAACTGTTTAAAAGGGATATATGGCCCCCACAGGCTGCTCTGAAAAGCCATCTTTGCATTGTTCCCGGGTCAGGGTCAGGCTCCTCGCTTGCCGCTGCACGGCTCCGGCTCCGGCTCCGGCTCCGGCTCCGGCTCCGGCTCCGGCTCCGGCTCCGGCTCCGGCTCCGGCTCCGGCTCCGGCTCCGGCTCCG